AACAATCAACTACGATGATCCTGGCAACAACCAACACCAACATCAACTACAACAATCAACTACGATGATCCTGGCAACAACCAACACCAACATCAACTGCAACAATCAACTACGATGATCCTGGCAACAACCAACACCAACATCAACTGCAACAATCAACTACGATGATCCTGGCAACAACCAACACCAGCATCATCAACAATCACGATGATCCTGGCAACAACCAACACCAACATCAACTGCAACAATCAACTACGATGATCCTGGCAACAACCAACACCAACATCAACTACGATGATCCTGGCAACAACCAACACCAACATCAACTGCAACAATCAACTACGATGATCCTGGCAACAACCAACACCAACATCATGCAACAATCAACTACGATGATCCTGGCAACCAACACCAGCATCAACTGCAACAATCAACTACGATGATCCTGGCAACAACCAACACCAACATCAACTGCAACAATCAACTACGATGATCCTGGCAACAACCAACACCAACATCAACTGCAACAATCAACTACGATGATCCTGGCAACAACCAACACCAGCATCAACTGCAATCAACTACGATGATCCTGGCAACAACCAACACCAACATCAACTGCAGCAATCAACTACGATGATCCTGGCACAACAACCCAACACCCTGGCAACATCACCAACATCAACTACAACAATCAACTACGATGATTCTGGCAACAACCAACACCAACATCAACTACGATGATCCTGGCAAACAACCAACACCAACATCAACTGCAACAATCAACTACGATGATCCTGGCAACAACCAACACCAACATCAACTACGATGATCCTGGCAACAACCAGCAACATCACGATGATCCTGGCAACAACCAACACCAGCATCAACTGCAACAATCAACTACGATGATCCTGGCAACAACCAACACCAACATCAACAACAATCAACTACGATGATCCTGGCAACAACCAATCCAACATCAACTACGACAATCAACTACGATGATCCAACACCAACATCAACACCAGCAATCAACTACGATGATCCTGGCAGCAACAACCAACACCAACATCAACTGCAATCAACTACGATGATCCTGGCAGCAACCAACACCAGCATCAACTGCAATCAATCATGATCCTACCAACACCAGTGATCAACTACGATGATCCTGGCAACAACATCAACTGCAACAATCAACTACGATGATCCTGGCAACAACCAACACCAGCATCAACTGCAACAATCAACTACGATGATCCTGGCAACAACCAACACCAACATCAACTGCAACAATCAACTACGATGATCCTGGCAACAACCAACACCAACATCACTGCAACAATCAACTACGGTGATCCTGGCAACAACCAACACCAACATCAACTACGATGATCCTGGCAACAACCAACACCAACATCAACTGCAACAATCAACTACGATGATCCCAGCAGCAACCAACACCAACATCAACTGCAACAATCAACTACGATGATCCTGGCAACAACCAACACCAACATCAACTACGATGATCCTGGCAACAACCAATCAACTACGATGATCCTGGCAACAACCAACACCAACATCAACTGCAACAATCAACTACGATGATCCTGGCAACAACCAACACCAACATCAACTGCAACAATCAACTACGATGATCTGGCAACAACCAACACCAACATCAACTACAACAATCAGCATCATGATCCTGGCAACAACCAACACCATCAACTACGATGATCCTGGCAACAACCAACACCAACATCAACTGCAACAATCAACTACGATGATCCTGGCAACAACCAACACCAACATCAACTACAACAATCAACTACGATGATCCTGGCAACAACCAACACCAACATCAACTGCAACAATCAACTACGATGATCCTGGCAACAACCAACACCAATCAACTGCAACAATCAACTACGATGATCCTGGCAACAACCAACACCAGCATCAACTACAACAATCAACTACGATGATCCTGGCAACAACCAACACCAACATCAACTACGATGATCCTGGCAACAACTAACACCAACATCAACTACAACAATCAACTACGATGATTCTGGCAACAACCAACACCAACATCAACTACGATGATCCTGGCAACAACCAACACCATCAACTGCAACAATCAACTACGATGATCCTGGCAACAACCAACACCAGCATCAACTGCAACAATCAACTACGATGATCCTGGCTACAACCAACACCAACATCAACTGCAACAATCAACTACGATGATCCTGGCAACAACCAACACCAACATCAACTGCAACAATCAACTACGATGATCCTGGCAACAACCAACACCAACATCAACTGCAACAATCAACTACGATGATCCTGGCAACAACCAACACCAACATCAACTACAACAATCAACTACGATGATCCTGGCAACAACCAACACCAACATCAACTACGATGATCCTGGCAACAACTAACACCAACATCAACTACAACAATCAACTACGATGATTCTGGCAACAACCAACACCAACATCAACTACGATGATCCTGGCAACAACCAACACCAACATCAACTGCAACAATCAACTACGATGATCCTGGCAACAACCAACACCAACATCAACTGCAACAATCAACTACGATGATCCTGGCAACAACCAACACCAACATCAACTGCAACAATCAACTACGATGATCCTGGCAACAACCAACACCACCATCAACTGCAACAATCAACTACGATGATCCTGGCAACAACCAACACCAACATCAACTGCAACAATCAACTACGATGATCCTGGCAACAACCAACACCAACATCAACTGCAACAATCAACTACGATGATCCTGGCAACAACCAACACCAACATCAACTTCAACAACCAACAGCGATCATCCTGGCAACAATCAACTTCAACAATCAACAGCGATGATCCTGGCAACAACCCACATCAGCTTCCCTTCAACCCCAACAACCAACAGCGATGTTCCTGGCAACTACCAACACCAACCTCGACTATCAATGCCTGCACTAGAACTTCTGCACCTCCACCGTTTCCGACCTCCTTATTTTCTTTCCTAGAATAAATTAGCATATATTATCCTCGTTCTGTCGTCTATATTGTTTCACCGTCAGATTTAACGTCTTCAAAAATGTTAGCGGGCCTCTTGTGACCTCATTCCCCCTTGTGTCGCTCGGGGGTACCGCTACACTTCCTTGGATTACAAATTTTAAAAAGTATTTTGAATTTATGACTTTTTCTAACAATGTTGATAGGAATATAAAAAGTCTTTTATGTTAAAATTAAACATGAATTTTATTATTAAACAATTATTTCTAAGTTACTTTTTTTTTTTTTTTAAAGAGAATTAAGGAAACAAACAAGTTTTAAAAGTTACTTTTTATTTATTTATTTTTTTCAGTTCTTGGATTTATTTTATAAATTAAACAGATTAAATAAAAACATTTATTATTTTACTTTAATTTCAATAGAAAGAAAATGTTTTTTAACAGCACAAAATATATTTCCTCTCAGCTCAACACCAAAACAAAATTGAACAACATGTAAAAAAGCTTATCAGTAGGTACTACGTCGTTCAGGGCTTGTGGCGCAATGGATAACGCGTCTGACTACGGATCAGAAGATTCCATGTTCGAATCCTGGCAAGCTCGTAATGTTTTGTAAATGTGACTCATTTATAAAATTACGTTCTATAATTTGAGGCATGGGTTGCATCTTGACTGATGTATTTCCTATTAAATGATCAAAATTTTTTTCAGAGTTTAAAAATTATTTTTATAACGCGCTATTTTTATTGATGCTTTAGTAGTGCTATGGAAGGACATCAGTGACATAATTTTGACAAACTTTGCCCGTAGATGATTTGTATTCCATTGTGGAATAATGTATTATTCCATCTACGACATTTTACGCGCGCGCGAGTTTCCTCCCTTTCTTTCACACTCGCGGGCGCGCGCGCGCGTTTGACACCCCTTTCTCCCTCGTTCGGTCTAATACAGTAGTAACTGTTTTTGGTCGACAGTCAAACGACCTGCTATGCAAATTAGATTTTTGAAATCTTCCCGCGAAAAATTTGTGACGTCAACGACAAACTGTTGTTTCAAAAAAGTCAGTTGTGATCCAGATTCGGACCTGGGCAGACTCTTTTGTATACATGTCAATATTTTAGGTTGACTGACGAAGGATATCTTACGATGCCAACACCAAATATTAATTCTGCGTCCCTTTTGGCTCGTCATTCAAAGTCCTTCTACGAGATGATGCATATACCAAATAATTAACTTTTCGGCCTTTGTGACTCGTCATTCAAAGTCCTTCTCCGAGACGATGCAAAACATCAAAATATTAATTCGTCGTCCACTTTGGGTCTCGTCATAAATCTGTTTTGAACCAGTACACAAAAAAAAAAAAAAATATATGCATAACATTTCACTCACATTAGCAAAAACTCGCAGTGAGTATTTTTTCCTTGTATGTATATTATCATGTACATTGATTTATCTGGAACCTTTCTTCTTCTTCAAGAACTTTTCCCGCCTTTAGCCATCTTGTTTTTTATAATTGGCGCGGAACATTTTTATTGATCCCTACTACGGGATAATTTACTTGTTTTCCTGCATTTAATAAAAATTACTCTTGTTGGAATCCAGTCTTGTTCTGTCATTCTGTGTCGGCTATCTTAATATATTTTATTTTATGCGTGTGGTTTAACCACATTTCTTCGTTGTTCATTCACGCATATTTTATTTTTTTTTTACTTTGCTTGTAGACTCGGTAGTTTAGTGTGGTGTCTGGCACAAGGCCATAGTAATAAACCAGCACTGCACCCTACCGGGCCTGCAACAAGTTTGGTGACCCGAGACGTGAATTGAACACGCAATAATTTTGCAACCTTGCCAACATAATTGTGAGCAAGCTGAAATATAAACGTGCATAAATTCGATAGCCAGAATGACGTCTAATGACTCTGAAGAGTTGGCGAACATGACCGCCTCCGTCACTCCTTTTCCCCCTTTTCATGAAGGGAATATAAAGAACTGGTTCCTGCAAATGGAAGCTATCTTTACAGTCAGAAGGATTACAGACCAAAAAACAAAGTTTGGCCACGTGGTGGCGGTTTTGCCACCCGCCATTGTCGACGAAGTAGCAGACTTCCTAGAAGCCGTTCCTGAAGTAGAGCCCTACGCCCGGTTAAAAGAAGTGATCTTAAGGAGAATGGGCCGTACGGAGGAATCATTAATCCGGGAACTATTTAGCAACCTAACTTGCGATGGCAGGACTCCCTCCCAACTCCTTCGTTATATGAAAAGCCGACTCGGCAAAAATACCATGGCTGACTCTATATTGAAAAGCTTGTGGCTGGATCGTCTCCCCACCACCATTACCCAGATATTGGCGCCTATGTCCGAGAACACCCCAATCGACCAGTTAGCGGACGCCGCTGACCGTATTTTCTCGCAACTGGATCATCAGACAACGCCAGTACACAGTGCTGAAGCGACTGGGGACCACAGGTCCTTGGAAAAAACAGTGGAGGATTTGCAGCGCCAAGCTCTAAGAAGCCATGGTCGAAGCCGGTTCCCTTCCCGCCGGCGCTTCAGAAGTCGACCACGCTCGTCCAGTCGGAACAAGGATGCCACTTCTACTATGTGTTACTACCACTGACGATTTGGGTCTGCAGCACACTACTGCACGAAGCCGTGTTCTATACTGCGGTCGCGGAAAACAAAACCGCCAGCAGTGAAAGCGACTAATCTCGCTGGCAAGGCATTTTTCATCGAAGCTTAGTCGCCTTTTCTACGTGACGGATACACGTAATAATTTACGTTTTTGGTTGACACCGGCGCTGCCATTAGTGTCTTACCCGTGCGTGATAAAGCACGTCAACAACCTTTCCAGCTCCGCCTACAAGCAGCAAATGGTTCCAGTATTAATACTTACGGTACGAAGTCCTTACCCTAAACATAGGAATGCGACGAGACTTTACCTGGAATTTTACTGTTGCTGACGTCCAGATGCCGATATTAGGTGCCGATTTCCTGGCACACTATGATCTAGCCGTTCGAATGAACAACCATTCCCTGACTGACAACTTAACAAGACTGTGTGTTCTTGGCACTTACTCTAAACTTACCACCACTGGCATCACCGTGGCAACGTGCCACAATAAAAAGAGTACTTAGACTTATTGAATCAGTACCAGGACCTCCTGCGTCCTGCTGGATCTATTGATTCAACTAAACATCAAACACAGCACTTTATTAAGACCACTGGTCAACCTGTTTTTCCGTCCTCGTCGTCTAGCACCTAACAAATTAAAATTCGCAAAGAAAGCTTTCGACGACATGCTACGAGAGGGTGTTATTCGTCCGTCCGACAGTCCCTACGCTTCCCCTCTTCATTTGGTACCTAAACCAGGAAAGGAAGACTATAAATTTGTGTGGATTATAGAAGATTGAATTCCATCACCGTCCGGGATCGTTATCAATCCCCCACCTCCACGATTTCACTTCTGGTTTACAAGGCGCAAAGATTTTTTTTACTAAAATAGATCTCGCAAAAGCATATTATCAGGTGCCAGTAGCTGCTGCTGATGTCCCAAAAACTGCTGTTACTACACCTTTCGGTTTATTTGAATTTTTGAAAATGCCTTTCGGCCTTTGCAACGCAGCACAGACCTTTCAGCGTCTTATGGACGAGGTTCTGCGTGGACTCCCTTTTGTTTTCGATTACATTGACGACATTCTGATAGCTAGCGAGGACGCTGCCTCGCATAAGCAATACCTACACGAAGTTCTTCAACGTTTGTCCCATTACGGATTTCGTCTAAATCTGGACAAATGTGTCTTCGGATCAGACCATATAGAATTTTTAGGACATCATGTCGATGCAAATGGAATTGCCCCTATAACTGAAAAGATTAAAGCTATCACTGAGTTTCCCGTCCCTGTTTCCATCAAACAGTTGAGACGCTTTATAGGGATGATCAACTTCTATCGGAGATTCATTCCGAACTGTTCTAACATTCTGACTCCCCTTACCAACTTATTACAGAAGAAGAATAAGACTATTATACTTGAGAATGAAGCCTTGGACGCCTTTCGAGCAGCTAAAACCGCTCTAGGCAATTTTTCTAAGCTCAGTTTCTTAGAGGACGACCCTCAATCGGATATCTACCTGACCACTGACGCTAGCGAAACAGCAATAGGCGCGGTCATTGAACAAGTCAGTCCTTCTCAACGTAAACCCATAGCGTTCTTTTCCGCTAAACTTTCTCCTGCCCAGTCACGCTACAGTACCTTTTCTCGTGGACTGTTGGCTATATTTCGTGCTGTTAAGCATTTCAGACACCTCCTCGAAGGTAGGTCCTTCGTTATCTTTACGGACCACAAACCTTTAACGTCCATTATGTCCACCAATTCGGACAAATACACTTCGAGGGAAATCAGATACCTGGACTATATATCTCAATTTACTACTGATATTAGGTACATTAAGGGCTCGGATAACACTGTTGCCGATACCCTATCTCGTACTGACATGTTCGTCGTGCATACTGATGCACTCAGTCAAGACTTGATCTCCGACGAACAGAAAGCGGACATAACTCTGAAGCAGGTGTTATCCGACACTTCTTTGGAACTTCAGAAATGTCCAGCTCCTTTTAGTAACAAGGTCCTATACTGTGATGTAAAATCCAAATCCCCGAGACCTTATGTTCCTCCGTCTCTTCGTAGACAGGTTTTTGACCACCTACACGGACTCTCACACCCTAGCAAAAGAGCCACAGTTAAGTTAATTTCGGACCGTTTCGTTTGGCCGAATATGAACGTTCACATTCGCGAATGGGTCAATACATGTTTACAATGTCAGAAGTGTAAGGTGCATAGACACACAAAATCTCCTGTGGGCACTTTCAGCGAGCCTGATGCTCGTTTTACTAATATACACCTGGACTTAGTTGGGCCCCTACCAACCTGCCATGGTTTTTCCTACCTTCTAACTATAGTGGATCGTTTTTCCCGATGGCCTACTGCCATCCCTGTCAAAGATACCACTGCTGTGACTGTCGCAAAAGCTATTTTACGCGATTGGATTTCGATTTTTGGGACTCCTAAAGTGGTTACTACAGATAGAGGAGCACAGTTCCAGTCGTGTCTTTTCAGGGAATTCACTGAACTCCTTGGTGCAAAGCAAAGACGTACTACAGCGTATCACCCCTGTGCTAATGGCCTGGTGGAACGGTTCCATCGCACCCTTAAGGCTTCGCTATCAACGAAGCATGAGAATGATAATTGGGTCGATGAATTACCCCTCATCCTTCTATCGTTAAGAAATATTCTTAAGGATGACTTGAAATGCTCCCCTGCAGAGCTTGTATTTGGTACTTCGTTATCTTTACCCGGCCAATATTTTTCACCAGCTGTGACCACACCCCCAGTTTCTTCCTCTTTTATTCAGGACTTACGCCTTAAAATGGCAAACTTATGCTATACACCACCGCGGCACTGCCCGAGTGATATCTATTTACCGCACCAGCTCAAGGACTGCGAGTTCGTATTTGTACGTAACGACTCTGTTAAGCGGCCTCTTACGCCGGCCTACACAGGCCCATACCGCGTTCTTAAACGCGCGGACAAATATTTCCAAATACAAAAGGTATTCACACCGACAACGTTTCAATAGATCGGTTGAAACCTGCCTTTATAGAGAAAACCGTCGTCTCATACTACTTCCCAATCAACTCCGCAAGTTCAGGAGAATTTCAAGACACCTGTTTCTCTCGACAAGCCTAAGTATACCAGCTCCGGTCGAAAAGTCACCTTTCCAAAGAAATTTGAAACATTCTACTATTATTAGTCAAATGTCTGCGACATTTGATCCAGGAAGGAGGGCTGTGTGGAATAATGTATTATTCCATCTACGACATTTTACGCGCGCGCGAGTTTCCTCCCTTTCTTTCACACTCGCGGGCGCGCGCGCGTTTGACACCCCTTTCTCCCTCGTTCGGTCTAATACAGTAGTAACTGTTTTTGGTCGACAGTCAAACGACCTGCTATGCAAATTAGATTTTTGAAATCTTCCCGCGAAAAATTTGTGACGACAACGACAAACTGTTGTTTCAAAATAGTCAGTTGTGATCCAGATTCGGACCTGGGCAGACTCTTTTGTATACATGTCAATATTTTAGGTTGACTGACGAAGGATATCTTACGATGCCAACACCAAATATTAATTCTGCGTCCCTTTTGGCTCGTCATTCAAAGTCCTTCTACGAGATGATGCATATACCAAATAATTAACTTTTCGGCCCTTTGTGACTCGTCATTCAAAGTCCTTCTCCGAGACGATGCAAAACATCCAAAATATTAATTCGTCGTCCACTTTGGGTCTCGTCATAAATCTGTTTTGAACCAGTACACAAAAAAAAAAAGGAAAAAAAATATATACATAACATTTCACTCACATTAGCAAAAACTCGCAGTGAGTATTTTTTCCTTGTATGTATATTATCATGTACATTGATTTATCTGGAACCTTTCTTCTTCTTCAAGAACTTTTCCCGCCTTTAGCCATCTTGTTTTTTATATTTGGCGCGGAACATTTTTATTGATCCCTACTACGGGATAATTTACTTGTTTTTCCTGCATTTAATAAAAATTACTCTTGTTGGAATCCAGTCTTGTTCTGTCATTCTGTGTCGGCTATCTTAATATATTTTATTTTATGCACGTGTGGTTTAACCACATTTCTTCGTTGTTCATTCACGCATATTTTATTTTTTTTTTTACTTTGCTTGTAGACTCGGTAGTTTAGTGTGGTGTCTGGCACAAGGCCACTTAGTAATAAACCAGCACTGCACCCTACCGGGCCTGCAACACCATCATTTAATCATTATTTCATTTACTTAGTTTGCTGCTGTACAAGGCCAATATTGCAGGCAGGATTGGGGGAAATAATGACTTTCGAATACATACGGTCTGCATTGAATTCAGTATACGAAATCTTGTTTAAATTCGAATATTGACCACTCAGTAGACGGTCGATTGTTGCAAGAAATAATGTTATACGTAGAAAAATCTTAAAACAAAATAAATAATAATTTTATTTTATTTAGGATAGGAATGCCTGAGGGTGAGTAATCAATCACTCATTTTGTTTTATATATTCACAACTTCTATGTTAGGTGGAGGATAAGACAAAGAGAGAGAGAGGGAGAGAGAGAGAGAGAGAGAGAGAGAGAGAGAGAGAGAAACACTATGCCCTCTTTTCTTTATATACTGATTAACTTTATATACGGTGTAACTTAGCGGTGGTTAGCCGAAGTTCCTTGGCAGACAAATGGGGTAATATTGTAATATGCAGTTGATGATAGTGTTGTTTTATGTCAATGAAAAGTGGCAATAAACATAGTGTCGGGAACCCAAGATTACTATTTATGAAGATGCCCGTTTAGATTAACGAAGAATCCCCTTGGAGAATTCAGTAGGAAATTTCCCTATATTACACATTTTTTTTCTTTTTCTTTTTTTTTTTTTTTTCGTTTTAAGCATTTCACTTCAAGCATGACGAGTGTGCCACTAGCCCACAAAGAGTGAAGGAGAGTGCAAATGAGAGAAAAGAGGGGGTTTGTGGGGGGTATTGAGGAAAAAAGGACAGGGATCAAAGATCAAAGCAACATAAATAAGTAACAATTTTAAAAAAATACTGAATTTAACACATAAATGGATTAACAATATATAAAAACGACGTTTTCATCCATTGTTTAAGGTAGCAAGATACAAAACCAGATTAGAGAGATTAGGTTTACATAGCGTATGCGGCTAGTGTGCACTTCGACGTGGTGTAATGGTTAGCAAGCTTGTCTCACTAGATCAATTTACGACTGAAAAGTGAGTTCGATCTTCACTGTGTGCCACATAATTTCGACCTTGTGCCACATCTAAGTTACGCTTAGAAAATCACCATAATGTTGCGTTCAGCATTAGAAAAAGGAGGAAGGTAGAAATTTGGGGCTTGCGTGTTTCCTGTTGTTGTAGTTGCCTTATTCTGTATCTGTTGAGGACGGGTTTCCTTTCTTCATTCTGTTGCAATAGAGAATATGAAATTGATATTACTACTGAGTTAGATAAATACAACATTTATTACAATAGTGAATAATACATAACAAAACTACGATGATGAGAAATACACTTATGTGAAAGACCCAGCGGATTCGTGGTTGACCAGTTGAAAAGTTGTAGAAATAAAGTTCATAGTGTTCCCATAGGATATTCTTGTGATGTGAAATCTACAAAGAGTGGAAATATTTACACACATTTACATTGTTCGGACAGTTGTCCCCATCTTTATTGTCATATTCACGATGTTTCGGACTTTTTAAACCCCGATTTGTGTGGCTCAGCATATTCGCTGATTCCTTAAGTTTTCGTATTTTTCAGTGATGTTCTCTGTCTATTATTTCAACCTAATCCCACAGAGGGTGGTGATCGCGCTGGAACAAGGACAATCTAGTCCAATGAACTAATTAAAGGGTTCAGTTTGAAATTCCAACGTGTATCAACCGGAAACGTCGTGAATATAGCAATAAAGATGAGGACAACATTCCAAACAATGTAAATAGTTACAATACCTGATCTTAAAGAAGGCCGGAGTGTACAATGGCCGAAACGTCGTAAATACGAAAATAAAGATGAGGACAACAATCCAAACAATGTAATACCTCATTTCAGATATATAGACAGATCCTAAAGAATACCGGAAGGTAAAACAGCCGAAACGTCGTGAATATGGCAATAAAGATGAGGATAACAGTTCGAACAATGTAAATAGTTACAATACCTCATCTCAGAAATATAGACAGATCCTAAAGAAGGGCGGGGCATACAACGGCCGAAACGGCGTTTATATAAAAATAAAAATGATTTAAAATTCCATGTATATGTTAGCCATTGCTGAATACAAATGGAATAGCCATTGCTGAATATACAACGAAACGTACAATGGTCAAAACGTCGTGAATATGACAACAAAGATGAGGATAACAGTCCAAACAATGTAAATAATGTAAATAGTTACAATACCGCATCTCAGAAATATAGACAAAGAGTGGAGATGTTCGTCGGGGTGATTAGGAGAAGTGTAGCTTTTGAAATACCTTCCTGGAATGCCTCTTCTTTGGTTGTCCCGTGTTCATGATTTTTCTACCTGACAACTGGTTCTCAGAAAGAGACTTGGATTTTAGTAGAACGATGTTTCTTGGTTGGTGTTAGCCAATGGGAATGCTGTGTTTAATGCTGTGTTTTTTTTTATGTCTGTTGCTCGGCAGAAATCGTGTTGATTGAATGGTGAATAAGGATATCTAATAATAATGGTGAATAAGGATATCTAATAAGAGTAGCAGTAGGTGACAAAAATGTCAGTTAAACCCTCAGCTACTGTCTTTGAGCGGCTGCGTGTCGGCAAAAGTAAGCAATTGGCGGCGGCATGCGAATCCTTCTGAATCGAGTGCGTCTACTGATTTTAGTATTGTCAATTTTGTTTTTATTTCCTTTCAGGGGCTCCGAACTTCGGACACTTGAAAATTAAGCGTTGTGATTGGTTTATTATGCTTCCTCTTTGTCACGTGGTATAGTTTGCTACTACGTCCGCACGGAACGGATTCAGTGATACCAATTTTGAAATTTACAACACTGAGGACACGAGAGTTATTTTGTGAGTGCGGATATGGGCAGGGATATTACCCCTAATTTAACAAAATAATATTTTATTAAATAGAAGACACGCAAATCATATTATTTTTTGCAAACACTACAACTCACAAACGGCAAAAGTTCATAGAGACAGCAACTACCCACGCAGACAGCCTACACACAGACAGTAATCCACACAGGGACAGTTGCAATCTAGACAGACATTAGTTATAAAACAACAGTAAAATCACGTCTCGACAGCATTTGAAAACAGTCGGTCAATGATCAAACACACGCTGCTCAATGAAAGAACTTTTGATTTACACGGTAAGTGATTTATAATCTCTCATGCCCTGTAGGCGTTGAGCCCATGAGGGCCACTTTGTCCCCCAGCTCTCACAGTGTTGGCAGATCGTCGGAACATCCTGCCAGTCTTTGCGAGTAACGTTGTTCCAGGGATTGCGTGGTTTGCCGTACGAGGTCGTCGCCGGTCTGCAGATGGTGAGTCGAACTGCTAGATGACTCTGGTCATCAGGCCATCGCCGGACGTGACCGAGATAGCGAGCACGGCGCCGAGAGATAGTGTGGAAGAGGTTCGGCTTCTTTCGGTTGAAATTTATGACATCGCAGTAGAGTGACTCGTTGTGCCTTTTCCGGCTAACGTTTTCAACTGACATGAAATGGAACGATTATATTGAATCAGTTGCTAAGTTTTCTGCTAGGAACGTTGGCTCACTGTGCCGTACCAGAAATTTTTTTCTGCCAGAATCCATCTTACTCATTTATAAGTCTACCATTCGCCCATGCATTGAATATTGCTGTCACATCTTGTGCTATTACTATGTATTTAGAGATTATTGATAAAATACAAATAAGAATCTGCAATGTTATAGGTCCTGACCTAGCATCTCGACTTCAAACATTTTCCAACCACCATAACATAGCTTCCCTGTGACTTTTTCTATAAATATTTTCATGGTAATTGTTCTGATGAACTTCTCTGTGGTACCTAAACTTTATGAAGTGCAGTACTAGATTGGCGGCAAGGTTTCATCATTTAACAATTGAAATTGTTAGATATAACCGTAAGTTCTATGCTAAGAGTTTCTTCTTTCGC